CGGAACGCCTGAGGAGCTGCCGGCAAAGTCAGAAGTCGATCAAGTGTGGCGGCTCATCCCGAAAATGGAGAATCAAATAGGAACTGCAAAGTTATGCTAGGATCCGCACGCATTCAATTGATGTTTGTCGGAGGGCTTAAGGAGCAGTAGCAGCAGCAGGAGCAGGAGCAGGACCTGGTGCGAAGCATCATCATCAAAATGATGGAAACTGCAGTTTCTCAGCCATTCCTTTGTACTTGCTCAGAACTTCCTCTTCTTCTCGAAATTTACCTATGCTGTTGTGTGTGTCTGTGTGTGTGTGTGTGTGAATTTTTGTATTTTTTTATTTTTGTTTTCAGTTGTCTTGGAAAACATTCAAGTGGAAGTCCTTTGAGTGTTCTGCCTGCCTCTGGCCGTGCGCCCACGCTGCAGCTGTCCCTCTCTGACACACAGTCCAAACTCCCTACCACCCCCCGTCCCCCCTCCGTCGTTACAATTGTCTGCTGCGGTTTTGTATGCAAAATTTGTTTGCAGTTGGCCGTCATTGTTCACGTTTTGTCCATTGTCATACGGTCTGCAGATCTGAACCTCAGGCTCATATGCATATAGTTTCGTCCTGGCACTCAACTAAACTCAGCCAATTCTAAACTCGGCTGGTTCGATGTGTTATTCAGGTTTGTTTGCCAATGTAATGTTTTGTTTTGTTTTCCATGCTGTTGTTGTTGGTGTTGGTGTTGGTTTTTTTGGAATTCCTTTTCCTTTTGTTGTGCTGCGTGTGTTTGGTTTTATTTCATTTTCTTTTCAATTGCTGCAATTTGCATGCGCTCGCTTTCGTCAGTTTTCCATTTTCAATCGCCCGTATTGTGGCTTGCATGCATTTTCCATTTCCATTGTCCGACAATCATCTAGCAAATTGTTTGGCTTATGTTTGTATTTGTGTTTTTTCTCTCTCTCTCTCTCTCTCTCTCTCTCTCTCTCTCTCTGATCCCTCCTAATGAACTCAGCATCGTCCACTCACTCCTTTCATCCGCCGGCCCCTCGTTGCGATTGCTCTAAAGTGCACTTTTCAAAGCGAAATGTCCTTTAAGAAATTCCTAATATATGCATAACTCTCTCTCTCGCTCTCTCTCTCTCTTTCTCTCTCTCTCTCTCTCTCTCTCTCTCTCTCTCTCTCTCTCTCTCTCTAGCCTTAAACAGCGAAGAATTTCTATCCAATTGGCGTACATGTCCTGCAGCTATGGATGCCTAATTGCCAGGTCATGTTCAACCCAGCACGGAGTGAGAGAGCGTCAAGAACGCAAAACAGTCGCAATTTCTTTTCTCAGGTTAAGATGACTTTTGCCATTACCAACAGCTGCCAAATGGAGTAGAAGCTACATTTGTCAGGCACTCGATGGCCACTGGCCATTGACATTATTTACGACGAATGCTGTGGGCAGGAAGCTGGAGGAGACTGGCACTTAACACTTCCGGACGGGCTCCATGCCCGACTGACCACCAGCTGGGGGATACTCTGGAAGGAAGAAAGGAAGACAGGAGTGTGTGCTGACAAACTATCATAGCTTGCACAGGTAAATACACGTATAAGTTAATAGCCTCTTCTTTGACGAATTTCTTACAATAACGAGAATTATCTGTCGCATAGAGCATGAGTCTGATGTCTGGCCAGGAATCGGTGCTCAGAGAAGGACTTGCAGCTTATAGTTCTTGTTATACCCTGAACCCATTAAAAATGGGTATAAGGGTATATTGTATTTGTGCAAAATCCAAATGTATGTAACAGGCAGAAGGAAGCATCTCCGACCCCATAAAGTATATATATTCTTGATCAGCATCAATAGCCGAGTCGATCTAGCCCTGTCCGTCTATCTGTCTCTCCGTCTGTCCGTATGGATGAACGCAAGGATCTCAGAACCTATAAGAGCTAGAGATATAGGTCCTCCTAGATCGAGTTTGTTTCCGATAATCGATAACTTACTCCGTTTCCAAGCAATCGATAAAAATCGATATCGATGTTTTTGAGCAATTTTCGTAAATAATAAGAGCTAGAGTCACCAAACTTGACATATAGAATATATATATATGCATTTGATGTTGGAAGAAGAGGGTTCAGGGTATCCCCTAGTCGGGAGCTCTCGACTAGAACCGCTTACTTGTTATATATAAAACATGTTCTAAACATATTTTCAGGCGTATCAAAGCTAAAAGTGTGCACATATCATTTGATAATCCTTTGGAATACGATTGTAGTTGTGTCTGTGCTCAAAGCTTTGCAATTCCAATTGAAAACAATAAAAACACAATTATATTATTTAGTTCAGTTTTCGCACGTTTTCTCAAATCTTGTATGCTAAATTTCTCGACAACGAAAAAAAAAACAAAAAAAAACCTAAATAGAATATTTGAAATATTGCATAATACGAACATCTGATGTGAATGCAATGCAACAACGAATAATAATCCAATGAAAACTCAAATTCATTGTGCACTGAAACTGAAAATAGTTAACTACATTTTGTTTGCAGTTAAAGCTGCCGAAAAAGAATTATAGTTAATTTTTAATGCAACTGCATAGAAACGCACTAAAGCTCATTTGTATTGTTTGCTTACACATTTTAACACTGTTCTTAAATGGAAAAGGCGACCCCCAAAAATGTGCGTCTAAAAGATGAAATGTAAAACATTCGAATGTTGTTGCACCTGCCGCAAAAGGTGGCGACCTTTCCAGCCACACCAGGAAAAGTTAATTATAATGTACACACTTACGTATAGAAAGTATTTTATTTGTGCTTACCTTTGCGTTGTTGTTTCACACATGTCCAGCCCGAGCTGAGCAAAGTTGCACAATATATGTAATTAAATAGAACATAAACAAAGTCCATAATAGTACATATGTCTAGCAGAAGCCTAGCAGGACGATGCACTGAATTAAATGCTGCAATTATAAATTATATATATATATATATATATAGGGTAAATCTGGCAGTAGCTGCACAAATTGGTCAAATTGACTGCCACAATTAGTAAAATACTAAAAAAAAATGCATTTTTGCCTGTGTTATCAACTATTTGAATATAAACAATTGTACTGCAAATATGTGCGAAATGAATATTGGCAAATGATGCGAAAATATTGCATTATGTTAAATGAATTCAATTTGGCTTACATAAATTAACATTCTCTTCAAATCGTAAAACAAAATTGCGTACGCCTTGAAGTAGGCAATGCATTTTGCACTCACGCAATTCAATATGCGCATATGTGTGTGTATACACACACACACACACACACGCACAGCGAAACAAAAACAACAAGAAGAAGAGCAAACAAAAAAATTGTTGCCAGATTAAATCAACTTTATTAATTACAAGTAATTAAAGTTTAATTAAGAGAAGAGTGCAGCGCAACTTTTGCCGTTATTGGTCTTTCAAGGTTGCGCCTGTGGGCGTGTGTGCGTGTGTGTGTGTGTGTGTGCGTGTGTGTGAGCAAGCTTGTAAAAGTATTGAAAACAAATGCAAATGTTTGTTTGCCATTTAACTTATCGATGCGGTTGTATTTTTCATTTAACGCCCACAAAAGCAACAACAACAACAACAACAACAACAACAATGTTGATAAAAGTCAGAAATAGGAGTAACAGCAGCAGCAGCAGCAGCAGCAGCAGCGGCAGCGGCAGCGGCAGCGGCAGCAGCAGCATAAATAACGAAATGTAGTGCATTACAGTTGTTGTTGCTGTTGTTGTTGCTGCTGCAATTTCATGTTTCTCTGTTTAATTAAAGCAATATGTGGCATCGAGGAATGTTGGGTTAATTGACTCATCACTTATACGACAAACGAAGCACAAACAAACAAACAGGCAAACAGGCAAACAAACCAACATACACACACATTCACACACACACGCACGCTCACTACTGTCCAAAATGGGGGAACACAGCCGCGTCGCTGTTGGCGGCGACGCCGACGCTTACGCACATAGTGCGGGGCGTTGCCAAACGGGTTCTGTCATTTGTGGAGTGTGTGCGCATCAGCGAGCAGCAGCGCCAGCCAATGGCAGCTGTGGATGCTATTGGCATACGCCCACACGCTGAAAGGCTGAAATTGAACGTGAGCCACGCACAAGCACACGCGCGCACACACACACACACAGCGCATCAGCAGAAAAAAACTGGTAACAACATAAAATAGTGGTAATAACATTTGGTTTTTGCTTGCAGCCAACTTCAAGTGAGAACAGTTCACTTGCACTGCCAACTTCACGTGAGCCCAGCTACAGCACGCAGCCAACTTAGCGTGAGTTCAAAATTTGAGCGCCCACCGCGTTGCCAACTACTTTTTGAACAGCGATGGTTGACACGAAATATCGATAAGATAATGGGTTTTTTCTTTGGTTTATTTTGGCATATAAGTTACGGCCACACTGTTCCCCGGGCACTTTAATATGCGTTGCTAAAACCATAAAGTTCTACCTAATATTATCAATATTAACAATTTGCTTTTAATTTGTGTATAAAAATTGATTTATAATTTAAATACCGATTTTGGAAACGAACTGAGCCAGTTTTCAGTCTGAAATTCTTTAACAGCAGTGCATATAACATAACAGCCAGTGAACAGATCATGTCAGTCATTGCCAGACAGTTGAATAGTTCGCGAGATCAGCCTAACAGTAACAGCGAGTTAGCAGTCCATTTTGAGTACTAACATAATTCTAGTAGATAATTTGAGCAACAACAGCGATCGAACCTAACAGAGCAGACTATCTAAATACTATTTTAGCATTAAACGCAAAACGCAAAACGCAACAACAACGTATAATGGGCAGCCAACAAGTTGTTTGCTGTTGTGCCATTGCCGTGATTCCGACTGACCGACAAATTCATTTCTGTTCGCTCATCGCGAGAGACCGTGTCAAGTGTGAAGTGTAGATACGTGCGTGCCTGTTATTGTTTTTTTTTTCTTGTTTTATTTTGTATTTTGTTTTTGGTACACTTGTTATTGTTGTCGCCTGCCGGTCAGCGTCAGCGTCAAACGAAAAATCATTCAGAATCTATTTCCATATTTACATTCCGCTTGCGTTCGCGATCGCGATCGCGACTCATTTGGCAAGCATTCAGTGCGCGCGGTGGAACGAGAACGGGAACGAGAACGGGAACGGGAACGTAAACGGGTAGAGGAACGGGAACGGGAGCGGGTGCGGGTGCGGCGACCTGCTGGTCGTGATAAAAGTGCTGCGCCAGCGTTCATGGGGCATGGAAATGAATCATTCGACTCGGCCCGACTCGTCCCCTCCCGCGCTAAGAGAGTGCGAGCGCCAATCATAAATAAATAAATAATGTGTCCAGCCAGCAAAAGCTAAACGAAACGATAAGCGTAGCAGGCACATTTAGCACACTCTCCGGACTCGCGTTTTAGTCAATTAAACACCGTTTATACCACAAATGTGCCAAAGTAATTGCAGTCCGCGTCCTCGTCGTCATCGTCGCTGTTGCAGTTGCAGTTGCAGTTGCAGTTGCAGTTGCGCGTAGGCTGGCATAAGTGTGGCCAACGACGAGAGCACTTTAGTTTTGTTTTTTTTATGTGACTGCGTGTGCGTGTGTGTGTGTGTGTGCGGTGCACAGGTTGAACAATTTTGTGTTAAATGTGGGCCAACCGCGACACAAATTTCGCATAATTGCATAGAAATTTACAGTTGTCGAGCGACAAAAACGAAAGGTAAAAGTTTGTTTGATTTCTTTACGATATTTTCTACTTCTGGCATTGGGTTAATTTGCATAAATTGTTGTGTTCATATTTACAAAAGAAAAACAACAACAACATCAATAACAAAACAAAAACGAGAAAAATAACCAACAACCGTCAGAGTTTTGTTTGATCGCTCTCTTTATCTCTCTCCCTCTCTCACTCACTCACTCACTCACTCACTCTCTCTCTCTGTCTGTCTCTGTTGTTGAATATTAACCTTTAGGCGGGCGCCTGCATCATTGACAAACAATACACGCCCTGTAGCTGCATTGTTTGCCTGCGTGCGTGTGAGTGTGCGCGTATGCATGCGGATTTTATGTTATGTGTCTGGTAATCCATTATCTAACTTTTAACAGTTGCTTAACAGCCGAAAACGCTGAGCGCAGCGCATTCCAGTTAACAATTGTCTGCGCTCTCATAGCCGGTTTCGTTTTACGTTTCACACGCAGTTAACTGCACTCACATGCATACACACTAACACACATGTACGCCAGCTTGTTGTTGTAACATTATCATTTTAGCACAAATTGTTGTTTTTGTGTCTAATAACTGCTTATCGCTCCAATTCTGTACAGAGAGCTAATAACAGTTTGTGAGAGAGAGAGCGAGAGAGTGAAAGAGAGTGAGAGCTAGTGAATGCGGTGGCAAAAAGTCAAACTTTAACGGTGCCAGCCGTAATCTCTAGCCCTCCCTCCCTCTGTCACTTCTATCTGTCACGCACAGTGTCCACCTGTTGCCGCAAAATGGGACAGAGCAGGCGCCGCATGAGACGCGCTTTGGCCATGGGGCACGATTCGCATTTTGCTCGTTCTCGTTCTTGTTCTTGTTCTTGTTGTTGTTGGAGTACGCGACCTTTTTAACGCTTTTAATTGTTTGGCAATTTAAACAATTATAAACATATTAATTTTGATGCTGCTGTTGACGGCTGACACACATTCTATATGCTCACATATGTGCATACATATATACATGTATATAGATATATATGTATATGTATATGTGTGTCTATGTGCCCCATGGCATCGCACTTTGTTAATCATTTGTTGATAAAAAGTATCTATGCACTGATTAACCAAATGATAATAAGCAACACACATACATATTTGTTTATTATTGTTTTTTGCGAGCGTCTAGCGAATTTAGTTGCATCATTGTTGAAACTATCAGTTGTTCAAAATCTGACAAGATTAAACATTAACAACTATTTAATTTAATGGCAAAATATTTAAGAATTTAAAGCCTATTACATACAATTTACAGGGTATTTGAACACTGAATGTATTGATCAGTGCTGCCAAGTTAGCTATTTTCTAGCTGCAATTGGCCAGCAACAGAGGTCGTCAGCCGTAAACAGTTAAAATCTGTAAAATGCCTCTTATTCTGGCCATTTTTAAAGAGTTTTAGCTATTTCGAAATATATGTATATTTATGTGAACGGGAGAGTGCAAGTGGTAAAAAATGGGATGCATTGCTCAAACAACCTTTTCAACTAGTTTAACGGAAAATGCGCAAAAGGTGGCAACTCTATGGGTATTTTTATGCATATGCATGCATAATTACATATATATGTATGTATGTGTGTATGTATGTGTGTGCACGTATGTAGTTGTATATCAGCTTTGTTATTCTTTGTCAGCTAATCAAGCAACGCATGCGCCCCCTCAATCTCTTACTCTTTCTCTCCCTCTCTCTCTCTGTTACTCTCTTGGGCATGCTCTCTTTGAAGTGAGTGCATGCAAATGTTGTGTGCGCAGGCGCGTGTTTAAATCAAAACCAAATCGTTGAAAACTTACGACAAAAAATGCCGTCGAACCACTTCGGAAATCGATGCCTGGATGCGCACGAGTATGTATCGAAAAGTTGCAAGTGCAAATGTATCGTTTGCAATAGGGAGTACGTAAATATAATTACTCAACAAACATATAGAACAAGTATTCAAAGAGCTGTTAAACTGTCCATCTTTGGGTACAAAACAAGGCGAGTAAATGTTGCCAGTAATTAATTAGTAGAACATTCGACAGTATGCATTTGATTGACTGGACATCAGGACATGTCGCAACTAGAAATTCACTCAGTTAGCATTGTATACATTCATACTCAGCAGGAAATGGAACTTCTGCCGATCACAACTTATATTCTTGCATTGACATTTGAGCGTGGTGCCAACTCAGCGCATATTCAGTATACCTCGCTTGCCCTCGCTTGCCCGTATTCCTATTCACATGCGTATCCAATTGATTGGAATGCAACTCGAACTCCTGCGGCATCAGCGTCTTTTGTGGGACACGCCGGCAGATAAACACGAGTTGTATAAATACTCAGCATAGAAGAAATACTCAGCATGCACATACATATGCTTATTTACTTATGTATGTGCATGATTCACATTTGGCAACAACGAACCCATTAAAAAGCAACAACAACAACAACAACAACAACTGCATAAGCAAGAGCAATCCAATAGAAGGGCAAGTGATTCATATTCCGTTATCCCAGTCAAAGCGTAGCACCCTTTCAATGGAGTGTACTAACCGAACTTAGTTCGAATCTAGTATACTCATTTAGCAAACATTTCCACTGCCGGAACTATGCCCAATTAGTTACCATAATAATAATACTGGCCATAATATTACTGTATGCATATATGAAACTGTGCGAATTCGGACAGAACATGACTAAGGGGCATAGTCTATACGGCTGTTCCACGTCTCAATTGGCAATTTTGCAGAAAACAGAAAATTAATCAAAAACTAAGTACAATACTTTTCCATTCTACTCAAAAGTATTTGCCAAGTCAACTTGTTATTCTAACAAATCTCTAAAAACATTTCAATATATTCAAAAGTAAAGCGCAGGATTTGCTTCATGGCCACTCTCTCTCTCTCTCGCTCTCTCTCTCTCTCCCTCTCTCTCTCTCTCCCTCTCTCTCTCTCTCTCTCGTTTGCATTCGTTTGATAACAATCAAATTCTCTTTCTTCCCTTACAAATTCGAATACTCAATCGCCGCATCTTCGAATACATTCAGAGTCTACGAAGTCTACAAATGATAACTTTAAGTTCTGGCTGCAAGCTTTTTTCGCGTTAATTAGTTTTTCTATTACACTTGCGCAATTTGCATAAATAATTGAAATTTCTAGACGGATTTCGTTCAGTGCATTTTCAGCTAGGGGCCTTTCGTTTATAATAAGCAGCTGGTAAGTCACAGCAGCCATGGAGTTAAGGTCCCTGCTGGACGCCTGTTACTCAGAATGTTGAGCTGATAGCAACTTTTTTGAACCTTATCGCCACAGCTCGAAGTTCGAAGCCTTTCAGCTCTTGATGTTCTTGTAAAAGCTGAAACATTAATGTGAATGGTATTTTTATTTTCGCATAGATAACATTTATCAACTATATGCGAAGCCGGGAGTCTCGCAGAAGAGACGTACCGACAGCCAGACTTTGTTAACAGAATCTCATATATTAGCTGATACTGATTGATATATTGATTGAATACTATATCAACAAGCTATATTGAAAATGTGGATTCGATAAACTGTTGTGCTCTTAATCTAAGATTGTGTTAGACTACACCCAGATATGATTTTGTGTATTTCCCAATTGTTGTTAAAGGGAGCATATATCTCTGAACATATATATGTATATATGTGCCCAAAGAATCTTCAAAACGAACAACTTTCAACCTGTGCCGAGCGATAATTGCAAGATAAGGAAATATGTGTGATGCCACATTGTTGTCATTAGTAATTTACTCCAAGCTCTACTGTACATGTGACATATGTATGTGCATATGTGTACATGTGTATATTTGTATTAAGTAGAACAAGCTGCATGTGAACTTGAACCACTTTGCAATGGGACTCGCTCTCGCATTCCACCTTGTGCTGGATATTAACTTTGCTCAGTTTTGCAAAATCGGCGCACTCGAATGCTACAAATATTTGTCCGAGTGATACAATAGATCATACAATAGACTCCGCTGGGCGAATTGTCTGGTTAGCCCAACTTGGTTAATGGTTAATGAGCTTAACAAGCCGCCCATTCATGCCTTATATATGATTTATACTCGTCGCAATATCGTTGTCGTTGTTGTTGTTATCGCAAACTATAAATGTAACCACAAACACGTACACAGTTGATACGCGGTCTATTTGTATGCTCCGCAATATATTGTATGCACGATATACCATATATACCCATTGATTCACTGGCCAAAGCAGCTTTGCGATTAATCATCAAACCGACAATTTTTGATCGTGCGCTGAAAGAGAGGGTGGAAAAGGGATTGGGAGAGATGTCAGAGTACGGGAGTACGTTCAAAGAAAATGCTTCACATAATGTGCATGTCAATCGATGGCAATGTCTCTCCCTTTCTCAGTGCGTCTCTCTCTCTCTCTCTCTCTCTCTCTCTCTCTCTCTCTCTGCATTTAGATGTGCCCATGATTCACGCGTGCAACAAATGCAATGACATGTACACAAGTTTATACATCCATTCATTCAAGTTATTGCGGAAAGCATCAGCAAGAACAACAAGTTTATTAAACATTGTAAACAAAATCATTGAGCCAGCTGCCCAGAACAACTTCCATTTGAAGTGCTGGCCACTTAAGCAACAACAGCAACAACAGCAATAACAACAACAACAACAGCAACAACAGCAGCAATACAGACTCCATGGCATCGCCCCAAGTTCTACTAAACAAGCAGCTGCTGTCCCGGTTGTCTATAGCCGGCCTGGTTCGGAGTTCAGAGAACTGCTGACAAAGCTGACAAAGCTGGAGATATCCAGAAATGAAACGAAAACCAATTTCATTAAATGGATGATTGCATACCCTGGGAAGCAGGGCACACTATATGACAGAAAAAGGTGTTGATAAACTATAGTGCCCGCCAATTGTTATAATCTCTTTAATCTACTATGTACATATATGGCTTTATGGCTACTATGTTTGCTGACTATATGTTATATATAGTTATACATACAGCTGTAAAATACAATTACAGAATACTCAATTGCAGGTCTATTCGAAGAGATCATAGTATTTGAAATGATAAATTGGTTTAGTGCGCCCTTTATTTCCATTTCAATTTTCTTTTTTTTTTTGTTTTTGTGCTCTGTTAACGCCACACTGTTAAATGACACTGTAAACCTCACGCTGTTAACTGCACAGTGACATTCAATTTAATATTACATTTTTATTATTTTTTCTTCAATATTAATTAACATGTGGAATACGATTAATAAAAATCGAATTATAAACGCGCTTCACTAACCAACTTTGAAATAATAAAGTGTGTGTTCAAAGATCAAGTCAATCGTTAATTCAGTCTGAATTATTAAGCCATTTGCGCCTTCAATCTGGACTTTGAATATATTTTTAATTATTTATCTTTATCTTGAAACATTTACAATACGATATTTGGAGATTGCAATTTGTTCTTGCATCGTGAAATATAAGTGAAATCGAATGCGTTTGAGTGCGCTACACAAGATGCGTTTATACTAGTTAGCTATACTAACAGTTCATTTATTTAATTGAAACTCCGTTTTAAGAATATTTCTTGCATTTATATGTATTATGGCGGTAGGCTATACAACTTCAAAGGGTTGGTGAAATCTGAATCGGGTTAATTTTCCGACTGTGGAAATGCAAGAATAATCATGATTTTTACATGCCCGTTATACTCAGATTAAAAATGAAAAGTGCAACTGTATTCTTTTTAAGTCAATTGTTACAAATAAAGATATTTTCAATATATACACTAAAAATAAAAATATATCGTGATCTCCGAACATTTGTTTGTAAATAAAATGCGGAAATGTCGCGATAAATGCAGTAAAATAAAATATGAATTTACAAGTAAATGCGAAATGCGGCGATTCGTATAAGAGACAATTGATTTGCTGTGTCCTTTGTTTTCGAATATATTTCAACTGAATAATAATCATGAGTCCATTCTCGAAAACACATATGCACAGTCCTCTATTCCTCTATTCCTATATGTACATTGATGATCATTTGCGCTGGCTTTCTTTGTGAATTGGCTAAGTTTTAGTGCCATTATTGACGACTCTTTAGTTTGCGAGGCAAAAGAGACAGAGGAAGAGCAAGAGATCAAAAAAGAAAGTGAAAGCCAAATGGCCAATTAATGATGCCGCGATTGTAGTTTGGAGTTGGCTCGCTTTGTGCTGGGGGAAACACGTGTCTGTCATTTGTGTCGTTTTTTTTTTTATTGACTTAACAATTTCAGACCGTATTCATACTCTGTTCACGTAGTGAGCTACAAAATACCGTGTACTTTTGCTTTCCATAGCCTCAGTCTATGGTAATTCATTATTGACTATACTTACAGTTTATTTTCCACTCTTCACGATATATGTATGTGGAAAATGTGTGTAGATACCAATTTGCGCTATATGCTAAAATCGATAAATATCGATGCCAATGCCACTTGCTTTTACAGTTTCCCACAGTCTACGAGATTGTCTACATGAAATGTACTTCTTCCATAGAAGGGTTCTTTTGCTGGTGACAAACACGCTCCTGATAGACATTATACCCCTTTTCAAACCAACTTGAACACGTACATGGTATAAAAATTTATTGGTTTTGTGCTATTGCTGGTTGCCTAAACGATGGTTTTTAAATCTCTGTCTCGAGTCCAAAGGCAAAAGCAAGCGAATCTACCACAAATTTCAAGATTTTGGAGTTATTTTCCTTTATTGGAGATAATCCTCTTCGAACTTCAGACATGCCTGCCCCGCCAATCGATATAATCTTTATCTATAAGCTATCTTTCTGTAAATCGAACTGAAATTCAAGCATTTTTAAATTGTAACAGAGTATCTGTCAGTCGATTGCACTTCACTAAAAGGCTATTATTTGATTTTCCCTCTAATTATACAGTAAATGAGGGTACTTTAAATTGATGATGCCACATGTAGCGCATTGCAAAGTCATATATGAATTTGGGGCCAGCTATATGCATATGGTATGCATATCTGCCGTAATGGGTTGATGATACACTAGATAAACCAATATATATATATATATATATATATATATAGTACATATATACGGCGATGGGTTGAGAATGTAATTTCTGTAAGAAGAGCGCTTTTATTCTTGGGCCTCCCGCAGATAATTGTTTATACATTTTGTTTTATTGTGCACTTTGTCAGATTTCTTTCTATGATAATTTCCACTTAAATATGCAAAACTTAAACTACTTAAAGATAAACTGCGTATAAGCAGTGCATCTAATTGCTCAACTCGAACTCGAGCCGCCGCCGCGCCAGCGCGAGCCGCAGCAGACGCCGCTGCTCCAGATGCTGCAGCTGCTGTTGCACCAACATCCGACGCAGCAGCTCCACTTTGTCGTATGACGTTGTCTGCCGCTGGGCGCGTGGGCGACGCGGCTGGTGCTCTTCAGTCTTCGGTGCCATTTGGCCTGGCTGCGTCTTTGTCGTTGTTGAGCAATCGAGGAGTGTGCCAAAGAACTGTAGTAGCAGGCAGAAGAACAGAGCTAAGTAATTGCACTGACTTGCAACTTGTGGCATGCTGCTGCACGGAGCTCTGTGCGTTAAGTGCGCTGTTCTCAAGGATCATGCTCAACTTTTATATGCAACAGGTATATGCTAAATACGTGCTCCTTGCCTGAAACTTACTTTAAGCCGCAGGCAATTGAAGCCCTATGCCATATGCCCACAGGAATGTTCTGGCTGCAGGTCAAGAATTTCCAAAATCCCAACATCTACGTGCTGTAAATATTGACTTCATGGTAATCCCCGTTTCACATGCTTACGTCCCACAGGAAAATTGCCAGCTAGCACGGGTTTCTAATGTCCAGCAACAATATTAACCTATATTTGTTGATCACAGTAAAAACTGCTTCGGATTGAAGGTAGGTTAAGGTTCTTTTTTAGATTAAATTTCTTTATTTACTTTACTTGTAAATACATCCCACAATATTGCCTGTTCTTTTCGATAATGTTCGAAAACATAACCAGTTTGTAGACACAATTCCATTTGATCGATGCCTTGCTGAAATACATGCATTTCTCTATATGCCAAGAGGTATATTGGTTTTGTGCAAATGTATGTAACAGGCAGAAGAAGGCATATCCGACCTCTTTAGGTATGTTCTTGATCAGAACGAAGAGATGAGTCGATTTAGTCAAGTCCGTCTGTATGCTTTATATGTAGAGCCTTGTAACTAAGTTTGACTTCAAATTTTGAAGTTGAATAAAATACTCAGACTGCCCGAAAGAGGCTGTCATAATTTGAGGTGTTTACAATAACCCACAAATATGTGTGTATGGGGAGATATCCAAAAAGTTAAATGTTCCTGACCTGTGTATCTGAGATATCGAGCAAAGAGATTGATTACCCTTCCGTTAAGTATTTGTGATAGACGGAAAGTCTGGGCGACGGTACTGACTAAATCCATTAGCCCGTCGACCCGATCACGAAAGTCCACTTCTGCTCGTTACATAAATTTAAAAGAAATCCATTTAACCCGCTTTTTATAAGTGTAGGGTATACAAAACTATGTACTAATTCTTTGGCTAGCTAGTTAGTTAAATATGTTAAAGGATGTGTGTATAAGCTATTTATTATTATATTAAGTTCGCTTTTTGCATATACGAATATTCATGCTCATGCGAAATTATTCTCCTCCTTTAGTTTGCTTTTAGTCTTTGGCCATGGAGCAGGCTGGCGCGCAGACACGTCCCGTGCCGGCGCCGCGTCGCCTCTACCCGGAGGTGCGGGTCGCCAACTACGAGAACATCGATATCAATGTGGGCAGCGGTAGCACCAGTGCCAACAATCACAACTGCAATAACAACAACCATAACAACAACAAAAAGCTAAATATCAACGCAGAGAATCTGCACGACAGCTGTGCGGAGAAGAAGCTGCCGGCCAGCAGCCACAGCAAGCTCATACTGCAGGAGCACAACGTGGAGCAGCCGATTTACGGACCAGATGCAAATGAGAATGTGCCCGCCGAGCCTTTATACGCTACGCCCAAGCCGGCGCCCAGGCAGCGAGCCCTTGCCGAGCTATTGCTGGAGGACGAGCACGTTGGAGAGGCGGAGGGAAAGGAAAAAGATCAGCCAGCGATAGCATCGCCCAAGGCGATGCGTGCAGCCCCGCAGGTGCCATCGAAGCCGCTTAACATAGAGGCGGATCGGCGACGGGCCGAGCGCTACTCCATCTCCAGCGAGCTCTCCACAACGAGCATCAGCGGCGGCGGCGGCGGCGTCAGTGGTGCCAATGGGCAGCCAGAGAATGATTCGCGGTACACCTCCAATGCGTCGCTTGACTGCAGCGAGAGCTCACAGAGCGGCAAGTTCAAGTCGCCGTCACCCGGGTACGTAGACGAGGGCAACGCAGAGCAGGCGGATGAAAATCATCAAGATCATGGGCGAGATCTTGAGGGCGATTCCGATACGGAAACAGAAACAGATACAGAAACGGAGGCGGAGGCGGAGGCGGAACGCGCCGCCTCGTCCGATCAGTCGGAGCTATCCGCGAGCTGTGACGATGACAAGTAAAATTTTATCTACAATTTTTCATTTGTTTTATCCCTTCTTTACGATTCTTTGGTGTCTCTCACTTATTTTTGCTAATGCTAATTTCCGAATTGTTTTTTTTTTTTATTATTTATTTTTATATTTAGTATCGCACACCTCCCCCGTAATACTATGGTACTAGATTGTTATTTGAATTTCTTTTTGGAAACTAACCCAAACGGGTTGGGTCTGTTACTTACTTAACCCCGTAGAAACGCTAACCGAACCATCCTCAAGTTCATTTTGTATGGGATAAACAAACACTTGTATCACCCATGTAGAAGTTGAAATGCACAATGATTCCCAAAAACATATTCCTTTGGTTATGGGCCCCATTTAAATGTGTTTTGGATATGTGAGAAACCCATCGGAAAGGTCTACAAAGCTACAATAATGCACTGTAAATCAAAAACACCAGCTTTCAGATAAGGATTACCATTTCCAGATGGTACAAAATATAACTAGGTCTAACATTTGTAAATTGTTTAGGATCTGAGCGTTCTTAACTGGTTTTGTATGACGTCTCAACAAACTCCTTCAAGTGAGTGTCAGAGCCGACCGGATCGGACCACTGTATGTTATCGTCTATATATCTTGACTAAAGCTGACACTTAAAAGTTTCACTATTCTGCTTTATACAGCCAAATCTTATCAGGATCGCACCACTATGTTATATAGCGCTATAGGAACATTCGATCGAGAAATGAGTTTTTGTGTGTCAAAATATGCTGCTCACATGTCTGCAGAACAAGGGTATTAAGTCTTCGTCGTGCCGAAGATATCCTAACTGAAGTTAAACTTCGTTTTTTCGCTATTTAGGACTTTAGTAAACATTCCAATAAAATAACTTTTGACCAAATCAAAATTAAATGTTACCAATATCTGCCAAAACGTTTTGGCACAACATTCTGACTGTACTTTAAAGTTCAACATACGATATTATATGCGATGTAACTAGAGATCAAATAGTATAAGCATATTTTACAAATTCCTCTGGATTTCAAGCAGTTTCGGATTGTCTGCAGCTTTGAAGTATTGCAATTGCAAAGAAACTTAATATAATATTAATAAAATAAAAATGCATTGTGAACGTGTACTTTGGTGTGCCACCGATCTCTTGGTGTTCAACCTTGACTCCTGGTCGTTGATCTCCGACGTAATCAGTAAACAGATTCAGTTCAGCAGCTGGCTGTGATTGCGAGTTTTCCCTTCAGTTCAGTTGCAGATAGACAGAGTGAAGCGACAGCTGAAACTGTTTAAGGACAAATCCCCACAATCCACAATCTGGCTGGCCTTATAAGTACCTGGATCTGCCTCGGTGCAGCCAATGTTCCCTATTATTCGCTCTATTTATAGAAAACCTTGTAACTCGTGGAACTTCGACTTCCGCCGACGCATTAATCACGCTCCTGTCGAGCACATCCAAAAATAGTCGCCTGCCGTTTGCCATTTCAAGATCAATGACAAATTATATACCGGCTCTATTTTATTTAGTTCCGTTCCGTTCCGTTCCGTTTCGTTCCGTCTCGTTTCGGTTTCTTTCGCTTAGGTGTGGGGTCTGGCACTCGAGTTTAGTTAGCGCTGTGCAGTTGGGGCCGAACGTTCCATTTTATTGACATACATATACATATATGTATATATATATATATATATGTATATGTATATGTATATACTGGATATTTGTATGGGCGCTAACAATTTTTTAGCTGTTTTTCTACTAACCTCAACTGGGCAGCTTGATCCCTCTGACTAAGTACCGCCACGAACTCTGAATTTCTCACAGGAATTTGTTGCGCTCGTTGGGCAACACCTCGAAGCTACTCGGCGAGGCGATTGGCGAGCGTGTGGCCTTCAAGGCCAAGGTCGCCAAGAAGCGTCTGGACAAGAATCTGAAGAGCTCCACGGAGGCGTTAAGCAGCCTTAGCGCGGACGCCAGCAGCCGGCTGAGGCACGCCAGCAAACGTTTCGGCTCGAACTTTACGCTGGGCCGGCGGGACAAGACAACGGAAGCAGGCAACTTATCCGAGCTGGAGCAACAAATGGAGCTGGAGCGACGCCGCACCATGCCCAACACGGACGTCTTTAATACGATACAGTTCAGCAGTCCGCTGCATCGAAACGCTGCTGGTGGCGGCCACACGGATCTCAGCGGCGGCAGCAACACGAAAACGCTGCCGGAGCTGCACAACGAGCTTGACTACGAGGTGCCCAGGCCGAAGCCGAAGCCCAAGGTCAAGGCCAAGCCGCCCAGCTACGATGAAGCGCTGCGTTCGCGCCCAGCGCCACCGTTGCCGCTGGCTAAGAATCTAGCGCAGGAGGCGGCACAGCTGGTGCAGCTGCGCAATCATCAGCCGCAGCCACAACGCCAGTCAAGCAGCGGCGAGTCGACCGGCGAGGAGCTGCCCATGCCCAGCTTTCCTCCACCGCGTCTGTCGCAGCAGTTGGACGTAGTGCAGCCGCCGGCGCGCCATAAGCGCCGCAAGAACTACGAGAACATCCAGCTGCGTCGCCCCAATGTGGACTCAGCGGAACTGCAGGAGCTCAATCGTGCCGCAGCTGCTGCCGAGCGCGAAGAATCACTGCTAATCACTGCCAACATTGCAGCCGAGGAAGCCCGCGCGCCCAAGCCCGAGCGTAGCGACTCCTGGCACTTCTATGGCGAGGCAGCAGAGCCCGAGGCGGAGCCGGAGCCGGAGGCGGACTGTGAATCATGCTCCTCGCCAGAGCCACTGTACGCCAACCAAGAGGCCACCTACGGCAAGCTGTTCGAGATGGCCACGAGCAGCACCAGTCGCGGCAAGCTGCTGACACCGCAGCTGGAGCTGGCGTGCATCAGTGAGGATGGGGAGCTGGACAGCAACGATGGTGCCGTGGGCGGCTGGTCGGCGCCGCCGCCACCGCCGCCGGAACTGATTGAGGAGTTCGATCCGCTGATGGGCAAATGCTCGACACTGGCTCGCTCCAACAAGAGCAACGAGCTGCTGCTGCTCGAACATCTTCTTGAGGAGGACACCTATGGCACCATCAAGCGCGAACAGGACGATGTCAGCATGTGCACCTCCGAGGAGGATGGCCGCAACGAAGCACCCGTAGCCAATGTCAGCTCCGCGTCCACTGCCACAGCCACAGCCACTGCCATCGGATCAGCAGCAGTTGGAGCAGCATCTAGTGCGCGCAATCAACCGCAGATTGTTCATCAGAATGCGCAGCTGCTCAGCGATAGCATGGAGAACATGCTGGATGACACGGACACTCTCGAGCTGGACACTCTCGAGCTACGCGCCCGGCCCTATCTCAGTCGCCTGGAGGAGAAGCCGGCTACAAGTGCGGTAAATGTTGATCTGGCGGCGCCATCGCGCAATCGCACCAATTGGTTTGTGGGCGACAAGACGCACATTGAGGGCGACAGTCCGCCCACCTATTTAGAGGCCATTGGTGGCGATGGACAGCCGTTGTCGGCATCGGCAACCAATGCCAGCGGCTCCGAATCAAAGAACACGCTGGGCTCTCGCTTCCGGCAGACGATGAACGCCTTCTCTAATGTGAAGCTGCGCATGGATGCGATGAAGCGACGGGCGAGCTTCAAGGGCGCCAGTCAGCGGCAGTCGGATGTAAAGGTGGCCCTGCAGATGGTGCCGCGGCCGAGTCTATCGCCGTTGCTGGTGCGCTACGAGGGGCCATTGGTGCGCTTCCCGTCGGGCGTCGTCGAGGATATACTGAAGGAGATGCAGAACCGCAAGGCCATATTGCGGGATCGACAGTTTCAGACGTACCTTGACCAGGAGATGAAAACGCCCAAGGAGCTAATCCCACTGGACACCATCACGACGCTGCAGTGCGTCAGCAACAGCCGCGTCACAGACAGCGCCACCCATTTCTACTGCTTCGAATTGACCACGTCGCAGCCAAAGAACGGAACTGGCGCCGCCGATGGCATGACCTCCAATCCCAATCTGCTGATGACAAGCAATGCCTGCGGCAATGTGAAGCAGCTGCGTGTCGCCCATCTCTATGGCGTCGGCAAGGAGTCCGAACGCGGCGTCTGGATGCAAAAGATTCTCGAGAGCCTCACGAACAGTGTGCCCGTGAAATACACCTGCCACTATTATCGCGCCGGCTGGTGCTACCTAAAGGTGAGCCTCCTTCAAATCCAAACCCAAACCCAAACCCGATGCCCGATGCCCGATGCCCGACACCCGATACAAGCCTGGCTAATGCTCCTCTTTGCAGAATTCAATCACCTCCGATTGGAGCGGCACGTGGCTGGTGCTGCGCAAGAGCCAGCGGCGCCTCATCTTTGTCAGCGAGGCCAATGGCAACGTCGAGAAAATGGATCTGAGAAAGGCGCGCTGCATCGGTGAGTTAATTGCAACAGTTGGGATTGCAACAGACCCCCAACAGTTGCTGGCCACGCTGATTACTGTTCCAGTGGGCTATATAAATGTGAATCATTCGAAGATAACAAGCCCCCAAGATATTAGGTTTACAAGCAGGTGTCAGTTGCATGATGAAAAGAAAATTGAAAAAAGATTACAAATAATAAATAAGCCAACCTTTTCCAAGTGGATGACATGAACACATGACAAATTGTACAGAATTCATTATAAATGTGCTTGGATGGGCGTAAACCTTACTGGAATTTGAGAGCAAACATGCAAAGCACTATATACTACTATAGGTTTCGTCTTCAAAGATATCTGCACTAAATATATCGGAATATGAACAGAGACAAAAAGAGGAACAGCAAACATACAAGAAAACAAACTTGCCGCCCCAATCTTGGTCTCTGTCTCTGTCTCTGTCTGTGTGTATCTCAGCATTCATTTGTTCCTTTCTTGTCATTTGCAGTTCTAAAGGAGAGCGACGAGTCCATTGATAATCTGCACGTGGAGAGCGGACCAATGCTGATGATCGACTGTCCGCCGTATGCCGTCTACATGATAATGAGCTCGGCGCGCGAGACAAAGATCTGGCGTCACATCATCAGGGAGGTGGCGCACAATAACGGCTTCTCGCTGGGCGATCAGCAGCTCACGCGCTACGACGTGCCCGTGATTGTTGATAAGTGCATCAATTTTGTGTACATTCATGGCTCCATGTCGGAGGGCATTTACCGCAAGTCCGGCTCGGAGAATTCCATGCACAAGCTGATGAGCGCCTTCCGGGCGGACGCGTTCAACGTGGAGATCACGCGCAACGAGTACAATGAGCACGACGTGGCCAACGTGCTGAAGCGCTTCATGCGCGATCTGCCGGAAAGATTGCTGGGCAAACTGACCGACAGCTTTGTGTTTGTCACCGAGCTGGCGGTGGCCTCCGAGAAGATACCCATCTATAGGGAGCTGCTCGCCCGGCTCAGCACCATTGAGCACGAGACGCTGCGTCGCATTGTCGGCCATTTGGTGTTCATCAGCTCGCAGCAGGCCAAGAACAAGATGAGCGTACAGAACCTCACCATGATATGGGGCCCAACGCTGCTCGCCAAGAAGGTAACGCCACCGGCCGGCCCACTTACCATCCATTGGCTATTCCTAATCCGAGTGCTTCTCTTTTACAGTGCGACGAGCTCATCTACTCACAGAAAGAGGCCGATGTGCTCAGCGATCTGATCGTGCTCTACAAGAATCTGTTTCCCTGCAGCGCCGACGAAATGGTAACAACATAACAACCCCCCCATATCTATACATATTTCGCCAACAACCCAGCTAACTGCCTTGCGCTTCTAATTTGAAATTCTGAACCCAACCGCAAATGTGACTGTGACTGGCTAACTGTTAAAATAATGGCATTTAAAGTATGCCATAAAAAACAGCTGCAAACTGAAACAATTAACAGCGTTCTAGTCGGGAGTCGATCCGTTTCTGCCCTGAGCCAGATGCAAATGCATTCAATTATAACTCCGTTGTCTATAATCCTATCTATTTAAAATATTCAAAGCTTAAATATGGCAGCCAAAAGTGTGTATATGCTAAAGTTCAGCCAAAAATAATGAGCATTACGTTTTGGGGCATTTGCAATCGGTCTGTATTATACGAAAGTTAGCTGTTTACTTACCAAATTTTGGGTAAAAACTTATTATCTGAAATATGCTAAAAACACCTTTGATTGATCTCTGAATTCGACACTTTCAAATAGACAAACAAACAGACAGACAGACATGTCTAGAATCAAGCTGATCAGGACAATATATGTGTACTTGGTGGGAACGGAGAAACCTCCACCTGCCTGTTACATCAACGCCATTTACTATTAGAATATAATATTATCGTTACACCCAAATATTCGATCTATTTTTGTACAATATTGTGAAGCTTTGAGAATTCTTAAGCTTATTCCTTGTAGCACATGTTCCATCTGTAGCATATGTCTCAGTCTTTATCTAGAGCTCATTTGCATTCTGTTTGCCATTTAGAAAAAGGAACAGGCGATGCTGATGTGCCTGCAAAAGTACTATGCAGCCGCCGAGACACTGAAGGATGCTGTAAAACAATCGGGCGACATCAAAATCTGGATCAGTCTCAATCCCAATCCAGATAATACCACTGAGGTGAGCACATCGTTTTGTCATACATCATGAAAAACTTACTGAACGCATTGCCGTCTGTTTTCAGGAGAAGACGCAAGTTAATGCCACAATTTCACCCACAAAGACCGCCTATGAGCTGTGCCGCGAGTACTCGGCAAAGATGTGCCTGCCGACGCATCAGTTGACACTGTACGAGGTTATACTTAATGACAGCCTGGAACGGCCCCTGCACCACGACGCCAAGGTGTTCGACGTCATATTGAACTGGTCCTACTGGCCGGAGGAGGATCGCAAGCACAACTATCTGGTGGTGCGACCCATCGAGATGCTGCGCGAGGTGCAGCGCGCTGTCAAGAATCTGGCGACAGTGACGCCTGGCAAAGAGTTACGCTTCGCTGACTACCGCACCAAATCGTTCAAAACGCTGCAGTGCGAGCTGCGCGATGGCAAAATAGTTGTCTCCAAGAAGGACAAGAACGACAAGACGACTATTGTACGGGAGATCTTTCTCCATAGCTCCACAGCGTATTTGGGCTGTGAGCGGAAACGTGACTTCCCCTGGAGCTGGGCCATCACATTCGTTGAGCGTACCCAGGCGCAAATTATGAGGTAGATATTTATCTAGCTGCTCCTTTTGCCAAACACCTCACGTCTCGCCTTTTTGCAGATCACGTGATGCACCCTTCATTGGGCACGTGCTGGCGGGCAGCGAGTGGGTCGATCGCACCATTTGGTATTCGAGCATCTGGTATTGTCTACATGGCGATAACATTTTGCCACCCGCCGAGATTATCATCAAGTGAAGAGCGACATCAACTGAATAGCCAAACATCCACTTGTTTGTCAATTTATTCTGCCTGCATTAGCATTTAATTTATATTCAATCATGATCGCAATTTTTATCTGTTAAAGACATTCTACATATGTGTGTATAGCATACTTTTTGCCGCAGACTCGATTTAGATGTCACGGCTTTCGTTTTTTAGCTGAACTAATATGCTATCCGAAAAGTATGCAATATATATATATATATATATATATATATATATATATTTATAGAATTTAAAAAGATAGTTCTAATTATGGCTGATATATATTTTTTGTAATACCTTTTTTTTGTTTTTTTTTTTATATTGTTTAATAGTATAATTTGCAATATCATTTAGCACGTAAGCCCGTAATTTTGTAGATATTTGGAATTTATTTTAAATACTTATGCATAGATACTTTTATACATACGAGCACACACGAATATGCATAAACATATTTTATGTATAAGCACTTTTTTTTTGTTTCTATTGGGAAGCATTCGAAGCATTCAAAACCGATTTTTCACAACGATCGTGTTAGCAAATGCGCCAAACTCGTTTAAAAAGTTAAAAAGCCATTCGTGCAATACGAATAATTATTACAATCCTATATATCAAATTTAGATACTAGCAAAATGTCGTCCTTCAATTCCTACGCACTTCAAATAGCCACCAATATATATTTACTAATCTGAGATCAGAATTTTGGTTTCGGTCCACGGTAAGCGCATTTAGTATATCATAACTTCTTTGGTTCATAGTATCGGCAATAAATGAAGACCAGGCCAGTTCCTTTGGGACTTACCCTGTATGATCTTCACAGTCTAGCAATTCCGTGTGGCTTACAAAAACATTTATAAGATTTGAGATTTAATGTTTTCATTAATTCTCGGTCTGCTCGACCAGATGCTTGAGGAAGCATTTACATACATATGATTATATAATTGCATATAACTTAACATTTTATCTTAATATAATATTTATTTATATAACTATCAATAAACAATACGATTCTTAAGCACTGTAAGCACTTTGGGAGGGCTTTATCACAAAATGTACCGTATATAGAATATATAAAATTGCCATTGCAACACGATATTACAAGTAAATAAAATAAATAAAATATTAAATGGATTCAATTTATAACTAAAACAAGAATCATTTAGAAATGCATAAAGAGAAGTATCCAAATCAAATCGTATATTTACATAAGCATAATTACTTTAAAAGAAGATCCGTCTACAATGAAGGTATGTCGGGGCGCAGAGTAGTTTTATAAAATATATGTCGGAATACGATACCTAGCTACTATAGATATTAGAAAGATTTTGTTCTTTTTAAGATACATAGGTACACAATATAAGCTGAAGATAATAATATGTACATATATAGAAACAGAAAAGGCTATGTTCGGCACGCCAAGGTTTGAATAGCCTAGATTCGGCTTACAAGCTTTCGAGGGGAATAGTTAAGCTCGGAATTGCTAAAAACATACAAAAGAGCAATTTTTCCTATAGAGCTATATCATCAAATACATCATCAGTGCGATCTTGATAAGATTTGTCTTCAAATTCAAACATACAAGGCCAATATTCTATGTAATTTTTTGTAATAAAAAAAACTTTTTTGAGTTCGTATTTTAAGTTTGATTTCGTATTTTAAGTTTGAAAAACGTTGACAAAAATTGTTTTGAAATAAGCCAGAAATGTTATCTTCACGACAATACGAAAAAGTTGTATAGTTATTGCACTTAAGATGCCAAAAAGGATAATAGAGCTGAAATTCGGCAGAAATTTGCCTGATAGGCGGATGGATTGTCCAAGCTTTGGCTTGGATTTGTGTCATTTGGCTGCGTTTCAAGATAAATGATGCGTGCTGTCATAAGCATCTATTTAGACAAGAAACTAAATGTGAATAATAATAAAATATGGACTATGACTCTGCGCGAAGAAGAAGAGCAGACGGCGCCACGCGCTGTTGGTGCTATCTTTATGGCACCGGCCGTAAAGCCTATCTGGCTGGTTGGCTCGGTGGCTGGCAACTGGGCGTGTGGCGCACACGGTATTTGCTTTTGGCCAAAATGAAGCACTGCGCACAGTATTTGCCATGGGCCATGGCCCAAAATGCTGCTGTCTCACGCTGCGTACCAGCAAGGCCAGCTGTGATGGTTGTCCCGCAGGCGCACACGGCAGACGCGCGTGATAAGTGTGTATCGATTGATATGCTACATATTGCATATAAGTAAAGCGATTCACATATGCTATATACTATGTACATATTTTATATCTTGTTTACTTATTTTGCATTTGCATTGGGGCGGCTTCCGTACAGAATGGCCTCGCTAGCGCCTACGCCGCCGGCATGCCGAGCGGGACATCTATTTATTTGGGTGCCAACCGCGACGACTTTAAAATGCTGAGTGGGAATCCAATCGGATAGGAACTCGAATTGGAATTGAAATATAAATCAAAATCAGTGGCAATTAAACGCTAAATGGGTCTGGGTCTGGGCTGTTTTTGTTAATTAGGCCGATTACACTTGCATTCAAATCTAATTGTCCTCCAATTAGCCGCAGCAGCTAAATGGGCTATAAATTTGCTGCATCTGCTGCATCGGCAACACAGCAGCAGCCGCTTGGGTCCAAATGTTACGACTACCCCATATCGTCTACCTGCTGACAGCTCTGCTGCTGCATGGCGCCAAGGTGAGTTTGTCCCTAACCTGCACAAAATCAAGTATGTATATTACTCCTTGTATTCGTGTTTCTCTGGCAGACCGCTGACTACAATGTATTCCTCGATGAGCAATTGATCCAGGAGTCCTGCGACAGCACGGAGGACAAAGGCAATGTGGCATTGAGTGAGCTAGTGGAAACCCACCTCACGACTGTCCTCGACGATGACTACGAAACGCTTTACATAAGCGGCGACATTATCATAAAACGGGCACTGCCACGCATACCCATTAAATTCGAGGTGGACGTCAGCCGCTGGGAGCGTGGTCAGTGGGTGCCCACATTTGTTACACTAAAACGTGACAACTTTTGCAGGTCCCTAAAGGATCCATTAGAGCTCTGGCACCTATACTATATCACACAGATATCCAAGCAGCAGCGCACATGTCCACCGCATCAAGGCGTAAGTGTTCCATCTGTTAAATCCAATTCAAATCCAATCAGTTGTACAGCATTTTGAGTCTTTGGTGGACCCAAATGTGTGCAAATTCATGTTATCACATGAAAAGTTTTTCTTTTTGATTTCTAAATTCCACGGGCTCACATCAGGTTTTGTATATATAAAAGAGTAGCCTTGAATATACGGCAGTATAAGTTGAAAATCAGGAGACGTCTGGCTACCCAAAGTGCATATAGAAGCTGAAAAAAAATCGACTGTTTACGATCTTGAGGTCGTAGATAAACATTTATCTACTAAGCCTTACATGTTCTCATTGATAAAAAGGAAAAGTTCAAACGATTTCAAGGTCCAGTAAAAACAAAATCAATAAAAAAAATAATATAAAATAATTCTAATAATCTTCACTATATATATTTTGTCTTAACGGGGGTTCGATCCTAAATGCTAATAATAATAAGTAGTAATAAATATATATTATTAATAATGCGAATAATGATAATAATTTTAACAATAATCTTAATAATTTTCCATTCTCTTTCAGCAAGTTTATAGCTTTACAAACATTTCCAATCGCATGGTAGTGAAAAATTTGCCCCGTTGGGACATCGAGGGAAATCTGAGAGCCGTGTTGCACTTCAGTGCCGGTGATTTGAAGACCTGTTTACTGATCTACTGCACAGTTAGCTTGGCCTAAATACCCTACCCTTCTGAATATTGACAGTGTAGAGAATATTCTTGAACTGTTGCTATTGTGTATGCCCTATATATAGAATTTTGAATGTGCTCCATTTTGTGGCTGGCATCCCCGTTGGCAGTTTATTTGTTCTTTTCACTGATTTAATGGGCCGTATTATTCTTATATCTAAATTAAATGCAAATAAACAAGATTTTCATATTCATGCACAAAAATGTCGCGTAATTTGCCACCCAAAGTTCTCATTAGGCCGCCCCCAAGCTGTGCACTTGATAAGCGAAATATCTACATATTCGTAATCCCAGCGAAACGGAATGCCACGCTCTGCTCCCGTAATCCCCATTGCTATTTACCTACGGCTCAAAGTCAGCGCCATTTCAGCAACTGAACTCATTCTTATTTCTCATCCGTTGGCGCGTGATGCCCAAACACCCGGAGAATTTATGACACTCAGTAGTATACATATTGTACAAGCTCGCATTTGTTCTTTTCAGCGGATTCCCTGGCACAATATCTGGGTGTATCTCACGTGGTCGAGCTGCCATTGGCATTGCTTTACATTAATTGTAAGATCTACTCGCTTCATTTTGCTACTGTTGTCATACAAATCCAATGAAAGGCCACATTACACTATGCAACAGCCAAAATGCGAGTTGGCGGAACAAATATCATTTTCTAACTGTTTTCTATGGTGCACTAATTTTTAAATGATAACAAGCATTTGCTTAGGATCCTTAAAGCTGTTTCTTAAATATATGTTAATGCCAAAGTAATTGTTTGAATTTTAATAAGTCTGCTTCTATTAACATTCTTTGAGGCAGGTTTAAAATATATATATATATATATATAAATATATATATTCATATGCCATGATAGGATTAGATCGCATGCCTAATGTTAAAGTTGAATTATGTGAGTCAGTGTTACCAGAGTACATTAAGTAAATAAATTTATTTAAACTCTACGAGATATGGGTATACATATATATACATATATATGTCGGAATAAATATGTATGATTATATCTGGAGGTTAGCTTAGGATCATAATCACATATATTAGGGACTTTATTGTTTAATATTGCACTTGGCAAGGTAGCCCACGCATAACCTAACAATTGAATGAAGTAATCGACTAAGTTATACCCTGTACTTAGGCTCAAATATGTATAAAATCGATAGTATGAAAAAGAAATTGAAGCAATGTGTACATATGATTAGGTCGACCATAAGATATCCTGTAACAAGTTTAACATAGAAATCAATCAAGAGATTCTCATAATGTTATCAAAATATAAACATTTTGAGAATTTTATTTTTTGATTTTATACTAACGAGAACAAATACTCAAATAATTATGGGACTGGAACTATATTAGTATATCTAGTTAAAAAAACTAAGTAAT